CCCAAGACAGAGAGGACAGAGACACAAACAGAACAGACAGACAGACAGAAACAGAGCGAGTGGACACGCAGCGACAGGGAGAAAAAGAATCCAGAAGAGACAACAGAGGAGAGAGAGGAGAAACAGGAAAGAGAAAGAAAGAGACAGAGAGAAACGGACAAAACAGAGGCGTTGACAAAACGGACAGAGATAAGGCACCCCAGGGAGACCAGACCAGAGAGAGGAGGAGAAACAGAAAGAGAAAGAAGAGACAGGGAAACGCGCAGAAACAGACGAGTAGGACAACAGCGACCAGAAGAAGGGACCCACAGATACAGACATGAGAGAGAAATGAGAAAGATGAGAGAGACAGAGAAACGGGACAGAAAAACAGGGAGAAAGGACCCAGAAGACAGACAGAGAGAGAGAGAAAAAACGAGACAGAAAGAGAACGAACAGAAAAAGAACGAGTGGACAAAAGCAGAGCAGCAAGAGAAGGACCCAGGGAGACAGACAGAGAGAGAGAGAAACAGAGAGGAGAAAAGAAAGAGACAGGAAGAAACGACCGAGAGAAACAGAAGCGACGGTGGGACGGCAGCGACAGGGGAGAAGGACCCAGGGGAGACAGACCAGGAGGAGAGAAGAGAAACAGAAGAGAAAAGAACAAGAGACAGAAGATAGAAAACGGACAGAAACAGAACGAGTGGACAAAAGCGACAGAGAGAAGGACCCAGAGAGACAGACAGAGAGAGAGAGAGAAACAGAAAAGAAAGGAAAGAGACAAGGGAAACGGACAGAAACAGAACGACGTGGACAAAAGCGACAGAGGAGACCCGGGAGACAGACAGAGAGAGAGGAGAAACAGAAGAGAGAAAGGAAAGAGACAGACGAAACGGTAACAGAAACAGAGCGAGTGGAGCAGCGACAGAGAGAAGGACCCAGGGAGACCAGACAGAGAGAGGCAGAGAGAGAAACAGAAAGAGAAGAAAGAGACAGAGAGAAACGGACCCAGAAAGCAGAACGAGTGGACAAAAGCGACAGAGAGAGGACCAGAGAGACAGACAGAGAGAGAGAGAGCAAACAGAAAGAGGAAAGAAAGAGACAGAGAAACGGACAGAAACAGAGAGAGTGGAGAACAGCGACAGGGAGAAGGACCCAGAGAGACAGAGAGAGAGAGAGAGAAACAGAGAGAGAAAGAAAGAGACAGAGAAGAAACGGACCAAACAGAGCGACGGTAGACAACAGCGAACAGAGAGAGGACCCGAAGAGAAAGGTAGAGAGAGAGAGAGAGATAGAGAAGCAGAAGAGACAGAGAGACGAGACAGAGAAGATTGGACAGAAACAGAGTGAGAAGGACCAGGGAGGACAGACAGAGAGAGAGAGATGATTTAGAAGAAACAGAGAGAGAAAGAAAGAGACAGAGAAACGGACAGAAACAGAGAGAGCGGACAAAAGCGACAGAGAGAAGGACCCAGAGAGGAACAGAGAGGAGATGAGAGAGACAGACAGAGAGACAGAGGCAGAGAACGGACAAAACAGAGGACAGAGACAGAGACAGAGAAACGAACAGAGACAGAGACAGAGAAACGAATAGAGACAGAGACAGAGACAGAGAAACGGACAGAAACAGAGCGAGAAGGACCCCAGGGAGACAGACAGAGAGAGAGAGGCGAGAGGAGAGAGAGAGAGGAGAGAGAGAGAAGAGAGAGAGAGAGAGAAGAAGAGAGAGAGAGAGAGAGAGAGGAGAGAGAGAAGAAGGAGAGAGAGAGAGGAGAGAAAGAGAGAGAGAAGAGACAGAGAGAAACGAAGAGAGAAACGGACAGAAACAGAGCGAGAAGGACCCAGGGAGACAGACAGACAGAGAGAGAGAGAAAGCAGAAGAGAAAGAAAAAGACAGAGAAACGGACAGAAACAGGAGAAGGACCCAGGGAGACCAGACAGGAGAGAGAGAAACAGAGAGAGAAAGAAGACGAACAGAAACGGACAGAAGAAACAGAGCGAGTGGACAAAAGCGACAGAGAGAAGACCCATAAGACAGACAGAGAGAGAGAAGAGAGAAGAAGACAGACAGAGAGAGAGAGAACAGAAGGAAACGGCAGAAAACAGAGAAGAGACAGAGAAAACGAACCAGAGACAGAGACAGAGAAACGACAGAAACAGAAGCGAGAAGACCCAGGGACAGAAAGAGAGAGAGATAACAGAAAGAGAAAAAGAGGGGACAGAGAAACGGACAGAAAGCAGAGCGAGAAGACCCAGAGAGACAGACAGAGAGAGAGAAGAGACAGGAAAGAGAAAGAAAGAGACAGAGAAACGGACAGAAACATAGCGAGAAGGACCCAGGGAGAGAGACAGACAGAGAGAGAGAGAGAGACAGAGAGAGACAGAGAGACAGAGACAGAGAAACGGACGAGAAACAGAGCGCAGTGGGCAGAAACAGCGGACAGGAGAAAGGACCCAGAGAGACAGACAGAAGGAGAGAAGAAGAGGAGAGAGAGAGAGAGAGACAGAGACAGAGACAGAACCAGAGACAGAGAAACGGACAGAGACAGAGACAGAGAAACGAACAGAGACAGAGACAGAGAAACGAACAGAGACAGACACGGAGACAGAGAACCGACAGAAACATGCGAAAGACCCCAGGAGACGACAGACAGAGAGAGAGCAGAGAGAGAGAACAGAAAAGAGAAAGAAGAGGACAGAGAAACGGACAGAAACAGAGCGAGAGGATCCCAGCGGAGACAGACATGAGAGAGAGAGAAACAGAGAGAGAAAGAAAGAGACAGAGAAACGGACAGAAACAGCGAAGGGAACCCAGCGAGCAGAAAGAGAGAGAGAGGACAGAGAGAAGAACAGAGAAAACGGACCAGAACAGAGCGAAGAGGTTACCCAGCGAGACACAGCAGGTCAGGCATGGACACAGAATTAGCACCAACCAGTGTTACCAGAAAGGCTTTCCAGAACCAGCCCATCACACACCTCGCTAATGAAGACCCACACGCAAGCCCCTCTTCAAAGTAGTATGCGGTATTAGGTCGAAATCTGTCTTCAAGAAATAGAAATTTCCTCATTCTCCTATGTATCGATCTTGGCGGATAAATGCGGTAAGTGGGGGGGAGGGTGTGTTGTGTGTGTGGGCAGGGGATAGGGTGGGAGGGGAGTATTCTCTCTCCTCTCTGTCTTCTTTCTCTTTTTTCTCTTCTCTTCCCTCTCTCTTCTTTCCTCTTCCCCTCTCCTGTATATTTCTTTCGCTCTCTTCTTTCTTCTCTCTTCTCTCCTCGGGTGCCGTGGTCGGTGGTCTCTCATCTCCCCTCTCCTCTTTCTTTTCTCTTCTCTCCTCATTCTTTCTCTCCTCTCCCCTCTTCCCTCTCTTTTATCTTCTCTTCTCATCTCCTTTCTCCTTTCTGTATCTCATCTCTCCTTCTTTCCTTGCTTTATTTGATACTTCTTTGGGAGAGCCTACAGAGGGAAGGCAGTGGTGGAGGTGTGTGCTGTGTGTGTGTGTGGTCGTGTTGTGTGTGTTGGGTGTGTGTGTGTGTGTGTGTGTTGTTCCTCTTGGTATACTCTGTTAGCCTTGGTGAGTAACGCTTCCATCCCATATCTCCCTACGTTTTTCCCTTTTTTTATTATCTCTCGCTCCCTTTTCATTGTTAGTCCCCCGTCCCATACCCCCCCTCCCAACACCCCGAGAGCAGATGTCCACCTCTCTGCAGATGTAAAAATCCCGCAGTGATAAATTGTACAAGAGGAGTGAAGAGAGACGAGAGGGAGGAGGTGGAGAGAGGGAAGGGGAGGGAGGGAGAGAGGGAGGAGGGGGAGGGAGGAGAAGGGAGGGAGGAGGGAGGAGGGAGGAGAGGAGGGGAGGACGGGAGAGGAGGGAGAGGAGGGAGGGAGGAGGAGAGAGAGAGAGAGAGAGAGAGAGAGAGAGAGAGACCGAAGATGAGACGATGAGAGAGAGAAGGAGAGAGAGAGAGAGAGAGATGGATTGCATGCATACACGTGCGTTACAGATGATTGCAGTCAGATATATAGACAGGAAAAATATACTGCTAATATATATATAGACAAGGTAAAACAGGGCAGACAGAACAGGACAGATAGATAGATAGAAAGGACGGATATAAGATCTACGCACACACACCACACGCGTACACACACACGGTACACACACACACACACCACACACACACACACACACACACACACACACACACACACACACACACACACACACCACACAGCACACAAACACACAATACACACACACACACACACACACACACACACACACACACACACACACACACACACACACACACACACACGTACACACACACACCCTAAAACAGCTACACCTAATCTGAAAAGACAGAGATAACAAAATAGAAACAAAGAACACATTACAAACCCACAATAAAAGCGGTGTGTTTGCACGCCCGCGCACAACCACACAGTACAGCACAATGAAAGGGAGGGCGGGGGAAGGGGGCGGGAGGGGTGGTGGGGTGGGGTGGGAAGGGGCGGGAGGGGCCGTGGGTGGGGGGGCGGGGAAAGGGGCGGGAAGGTGTGGTGGGGGTGGGGAAGGGGGTGGAGGGGGTGGGGGGGAAGGGGGCTAAAAATCTACCAATCAGCTGTTGTGCCTTTTCTT